GAAAGATCGTTCCCGCCCGAGATGGCCTCACGATGGCCCAAGAGGCCTCCACGACACCCCAAGAGGAGGCCTCCCAAGAAGGCCCCGAGAGGCAAGCTTCTGTGATTGTCCTGAGGTCTGTGAAGGATGTAGTTGTTCTCGCCTTTTTGGCTTTCCGACGCTCCAAGACGCTCCAAAGAGGCCCAAGAGGCCTGCAGGAGCCCAAGACGGCCGAAGAGCGCCCCAAGACGACCCAAGAAGCGCTCAAGACAACACAAACAGGGCACCAAGACGGCCCCAAAAGAGGCCCAGGAGACGGAAAACGAATCGAGAATCCGAGCCTTCCGCTCCAAGAGGCCCCCAGGAGGCCCCAAGAGGCGCCCAGGAGGCCCCAAGAGGCGCCCAGGAGGCCCCAAGAGGCGCCCAGGAGGCCACAAGAGGCCCGCAAGAGGCCGCCAACTGGCCCCAAGAGGCCCCCAAAATGCCCCCAAGAGGCCCCAAGAGACCACAAAACGGCCCCCAAGAGGCCTCCCACGAGATACCAACGAACATCCAATAGGCTTCATACCCACAACACAAGCACGGTGGCGGGATGGGCCGAAGGCTATTCGATGAGGAGCCATGCAGGGTCTGAAGCCTCCTGAATTCCTCAACCCAAACAACGACAAATTACATCACAATGAACTTCGGAGTTCAACGCTGAGTTCTTGGATCTGCGCTGGACCCCCCTCCCTGGCGCGCGGAGCGGCGGAGCGCGCAAGGGGCGGCGCCGAAGGCGCCGCCACGGGGCTGTAGTGCAGATCTAAGAAATCCGTGCCGCCCTCTGAAGACTACGCCTCTTCGATCCTGAACGCATTCTTCAACGAACGCCCCCACCGTAGGCCTCGTCAGAGCTCCTCGAGCAAACACTGGAGGCGAGGGGTGTCACACACGCGTGACGGCCTCCTGCGGGCGCAGCTCGGAGCCGAGTCGGCGCGCAGTGTGCCTCTCGCTGGCGGGTGCGGGCTCTGCTGCAGGCAGCCGGATGCCCCAACATGGAAACAGGGGCGCTCCGCTGCTGCACCAGCGCAGGAGCTGCATTGGCAGTGCCGTCGATCATCCTCTCCCCGTGCCTCGACCCGATCAAGGATCTGAGGCCTCCTGGACACGTCCCTTCGCGAACGCCCCCACCGCCAGCCCCGCCAGAGCTCCTCGGGCACTCGCCGCCGCTCGGACGTCCATCTCCCGTAGATGTTCCGGCTTCGTGCGTTTTTGTTTTTGCTCGATGGTCCGCGCGGATTTCTCGGATCGGCGTTGGCGCCCCCCGGCGGCGCCTCCGGCGCCGCCCCTGGCGCGCTCAGCGGCCAGGGAGGGGGGTGCAGCGCCGATCCGAGAAACCCGCGCGGACCTCCGGGTTTTTATGCTTATGCCACTTTTTGTTCCCCGATCGATGGTTCTCGCAGAGACAAATGCACACGTCCGAGCGATGCCAAGGGCAGGCCGCGGAGGCGCCGAGGTGCCGCGCGGGCGACCGGCCTCCCGCGGGCGCCGCTCGGCGCCGAGCCGGCAGGCGGCGTGCCCCCGCGAGCAGCGGTGCCGGCTCTGCTGCCGGCGCCCGCTGTGTGCGACGACAGTCCGCCGTGATCTGCTGTTTGAGCTCAACGCCTGCGCAGCCGTTGTGAAAAAAGGCACAGCAGCGGCGGCAGGGAAACCACTGCTGGCAGTGAGGGAGACCCTCTAGGCCCCGACATTCCGCAGCCGCGCCTCGCCGAGGAGGGGGCGCGCGCGCAGGCGAGGCCATGCAACCGCTGGAGCCAAAATGGCTGCGGACAGTCAACCAGTATAGCAAGGATGCGCGATAAGGATGCAAATGGCCCCGGACGCCCTTTTCGAAGCTTCTCCGGGCCCGGCCGGCGAAGGGAGCGAAGGATGGCCTGAGGAGGCAAGGATGCAAGGGTAACCCTCGGGAAGGCTGCCCCTCCTCACTGTGCGGGTTGACCGTGTGGGCACCGAGGAACAACGGACGACAGGACCAGACATGCACTTTCGGAGGCCCGCGCCGATCTCTCGGACTGGCGCTGGGGCCCCCCCTCTCCCGGCACGCGAGAGGCGCGCGAGGAGCGGCGCCGGAGGCGCCTCCCGGGGGCATCCGGTGCCGATCCAGGAGATGCGCGCAGGCCTCCGCCACTTCGTGTTCATGCCCCTATGGGATCCTCGAGGCCACGGGGGCGCCTGCTACCACACCACGATGGGAGCTGCATGGGCAATCCCGTCGACTCGTGCGCTGTGTCTCGACCTGATCGGCGAGTGCAGCCGCGCAGCGTGTTCAGGAGAGGGGGAAAGGGGATGTAGCGGGGAGGAGAAACGAGGACCGCGTGACGAGAGGGAGCGTAGGCGTCGTGGGAGCAGAAATGAGCAGGCAGGGAAGAGCGGGAAAGAAGAGCACGACATCTGAGAGCACGTGTGGCTAGACTGACAGCATATGTCACCCGCGGGTCCAGCGTGTCGATAACGCGCGGTCTATAAGGAATGTGTACTTCTCTCTGCCTTGCCCATTTACGCGGATTGCCCAACACTGCAACTGTCCACGTTGGGCTTCCATGGACTTGCGTTGCATGCAATCCTCCCTCTTGCCCGCGCATGCTGTATACCTCACGATGGCGCAGAATCACAACGCACATCAATTCATCAACTACTCACCATTCACCGTTGCCACATGGCTGCATGCTTTCCGCTCTCCGATGGTTGTTCTTTTGCTGGAGTGGCATGTACTTTCTCTCTACGTCACCCAGACAATCCAATCCGCACGGGAAATGACATGCCTGTGGCAACCGTTGGCCCCGCCGTCCTTGAACATGCCTGCCAGGGCACAATGAGATCATGTCGTGACCGAGTCACCAGGAGCCCCATTCCCTTGGATCCTTTCTCCGCCGAGGGAGTAAGGGGTGGGGGGGTCCTCGGGGGCCCTCGAACACAAGATGCCCCACGAGGCTACAGACATCTTGAGAGAAGCCCCAACGCGCTTTGTGGCATAGGAAAAGCCCAAGCCCGATACATGCCCTCAAAGGGCTCGAGCGAGGCCATAACCACAATGAGCATTAAACAGCGACGCACGTTCTCTGGCATTACAGGGGATGGGGGTGGCAGAAAGACCCGAGGGATATCCCACCAGCCCTGTGGGCGTGAGTGCGTTACAAAGGTTTCTGTTCCACGTTCCCTCTTCTCCTTCGGGAGGGTCCATCACTGTACTCTCTCTAACTTTAAACACCCCATCCCCCGCACGACTGGCAGCAAACCCGAACACAGGCCCCCCCATCATCCCTGCCAACAAAAAAATTAAAGCACGCGCGTTGCCTCCAGATCTGGCTGCGCGGGCGCCCCGCGACCACCCTGCAGCTGGGTTTGGGAGAAGGCGGCGGGGGGGAGGTCCTACTGCTTGCTGCGCGCGGGCGCCCGCGACCAATTCGGCATGATTGCTGACGGGGACGGCGGGAGGGGGGGCCTCATGTTGCCTGCTGCGCGCAAGCCAACGATCCCTGCCAAAAACAACACGCAATGCATCTTGCCTCCCACATCTGGAGCATGCACGGGAACCCCGCGACGACCCTGCATCAGTTTTTTGACAGGGACGCCTAGGGGTGCTTGCTGCGTGCAATCCAGCCACCCCCGCGGAGTTACAATGCAAAGTGCACGTTGCCGCCAAACCTGGAGCATGCCCAGGCGCCCTGAGACCACTTTGCCTTGGTGTTTGACAAGGATGCTCGGGTGCGACTTGCGACGTGTGTGTTGGGAGGGCGGGTGGGAGTGAGCGAGACGGCTTGCGCCTTGTAAGCAGGAAGTGCCTTGACCCCTCCCCCCACCGCCTCCCCTGGGTCTGCAGGGAGGGGGTTGCGACGGAGTGGAGCGTCCATGACGGCCTCGGCGAGAAGGCAAACATCGTTAATGTGGCGCAGGTTGTGTGCCCAGTTTGGCCTCTTGAGGGGGGGCCTAATTGAGCTCCCCCTTTTCTTTGATCGACTTCCTCCAAAATGGCCCCAAAATGGCCTCCGAGGCGCCCAAGAGTGCCCCAAGAGGTATCCGGAGGCCCGAAGAGGCCTCCAAGGGGCCCCCAAGAGGCCCCCAAGAGGCCCCAAAGATATCTCTGATCAGGGCAACTCGCCTGGGCATCGTGTCTGGATGGGCTGGTGGGGTCACGCGAAGCGTCTAGAATTTTGGGGCACTCCCGCGCTGCGCGCCCGCTCACATATCTGCACGTGCGAACCGAACTCCTAGCCTGGTTGCTGTCTGCAGTAACGGATGCAATCGCAAGGCATTGCAAGTTTGGCGGTGCTGCCTGCTAGATCAGAAAGCTGCAAACTATACTACGCCACTGTGTGCGAGGGTTGACTCATCAGCAAGGTTGACGCAACAAAAACACTTGTCTGCGGAGTGTTTCGAAAGAGGCGACAACCCACATGAGCTTGTTTCAGGAAGCATCACATATCCCAACAGTCTGTGAATGGCCCCCCAGAGAGAGAGAGAGAGAGAGAGAAAGTTGCCAACAACACGAGTGAACCACACTCGAACATCGACTGCACGTGGCACAGTGCATACAATCACGGGGTGTACAAGGCCGCTGGGTGCCAAGGCCGTCAACGTTGTAAAATCAATCAGGGCCCGAAGACTGGACGGAACGCACGGGCGCGGAGGCCCACTTAATCGGCAGCCAATGCACAAAGAGGGGCAAGGGACAGACGCGAGAGACACCTTAACTGCGCAGGGTCTCCTCAACGGCTTGATTACTTGAATACTTGTCTTCTGGTTGAGACCAGCTGAAAGAACGACCCCCAGACCGAGAAGAAGCGAAAAATGTGCCGATACCGACGACGCTATCCTTGCCTTTTTGACCGCGTCTGGTCGTGGCGACGATTCCCCCCCTCCCCATCCCCACCCAAGCGACTCAGTGAGCAAAAACAAACAAGAACGAGGATCATGTTTCAAAGACAGTGCAATTCGTCAGGATACTCCCTGGCGCCTCCTGTGACAAGACATGCCCTTCATTTTCATGCTGAGGACCAGAATCCAATTGTCGACGCCTCCCCTGCCCAAGGACGGCAACTTGGCCAATGTTGTTCGACGTCGAATTCGAAAGCACGCGCTCTACACATGTTACCGTATAACCCTGGGCCGAAACTACGTTGAGATGCGTGGTGTGGCCGGTACGTCCGCCAACTCCAGATGGCCAGACGCCTTTCAGAGGGCTGGGGCGACCGAGGTCTGCGCCAAAAGCACTGCCTTGTTCAGCTCTTTGGACACCGCCACAATCTTCCTTTCATGCGCAGGGTCGCGCTCGGCAACTAACTTGAGAAGGTCCGAACCGCTTCATAAAGGCTAACTATCTGGGAGAGTTTCCGCCCCTGTGCCTCAATCATCAGGTCCTCAGCGATCCCCAAAAAATGCTCTCATGAAAGGCCCCACACGCCCTTCAACTTACAAGTCTCTTGGACGCTTCTGGTCGCTCCTGACGTGTAACGCATGACTTTCCCCAGAGCCCTAGGAACGATGTCTGAACTCCAAACTTCCAAGTCGCTGAATTTTAGGCCTTGGTTCATTATTTGCGCTCTGTTGAGGCTCGGATATGAAATCTGCTGTGAATCCACGTGAGAGCCTAACCGTGATTGGGTCGGATTGAGTGTGGGTGCGAGTGCGAGTGCGCCTGAGTGAGTGTGAGTGTGAGTATGAGTCGGCCTGAATACTCGCGAATCCAAATGCGAGTCGGAATATGAGGGCATCTGGGTATGAGACAGTCCGAATCGCGCGAAGATCTACACTGAAGTGTGTCTGAGCATGATTGTCTGGGTACGTACGGCTCTCAGGGTGAGTTGCTGCAAACGAGTGAGTCAGGGCTCGAGGGACAGAGCGACGGGAAGATGACGAAGAGTGAGGCGGAAGGGTCGCACTAATAACAAAAACACCACATGGGAAATAATTTGCTTGCACTGTCGCTCCCTCCCAAACAGGCCGTGCTCGCAATGACGGGTAGCAACAGCACTCTGAATGAAGTTTACCATCGGGGCCGTTGGCCACTCAATGATGTCCAAGTGGGCGGACAGCTCGCGCGACTAATCCCATTGCGTTCTGGCCTTCCACGCGAGCGTAGCCCCGACTAGTCTGGCAATGAGAATGAGGCTCGACGAAGAAGAGAATGGCTCGGCTGCAGAATGGCTCGGCCCAGCTGGTGAGCCACCCACCGGATCTTCACCAACGCACTCAACATTAGATCCTACGGGCTGGACCCTGAGGCCACCCACCACAGGCCCCCAAACAACACGAGACCATGACCGGAACGCGATGGCCATTCACCACCAGGTCCTCGCTTAATACAGGACCCTGTGCCCACCAGCCATCTGACACCCTCCCATCACAGGACACTTCATGGGGGATCCTATGGCCATTCCCCGCCAGAAATCCATGAGCACTGGAGAAACCACAAGATACCGATTCCGCCACTCCCCCGACCTCTCCCAGGGTGCGCTTTGACCAGACTTCCAGGGTAAGTCCACCCGTGGCGACGAGAGCCTCGCAGGAGGCCCAACACGGCGGCAACCAGGCAAGAGTACCAGTATTGGTGCCGTTTCCTCCTCTGAGGCACGGGACCGTGATGCCAGCTACAACACGATCCCCAATAAAGCGGGGATAGACGGGAGGGCGGTGCGGAGTAGCATGCGCGCACGGCCCCCAGCACACGCAGGATCAAGGAGGCGAGGGAGGGGAGCAGGAGACGTGACGGTGGACGCGTGACAGGGGGGGGGGGAAGGGGAGGCAGCGCAGGCAGCAATGGGAACGACAACGACTCAGAGGCGATCGGAGACACGGGAATGCAACTTTTTCAGACGTCGGGATGTTCACCGTGCCCGTGCCCGCGGAAATGTCGACTGCCAACGAACCGCTGCATGTACACGTGTCAGTACGCCAGCCGTGCCAGTCGTGTCGAAACGCCTCCTCGATGTGGCAGACCACCCCATGCTGGTATATCCCAGCCTCGGCGCACCGAGCAACACCCGAAGGCAGTCCATGGCTTCGAACACGCCCTGCGTCCTTTCGCCTCTGCAGTTCTCTGGGGTGGACATGTGCCCAAGCTGGCTGCGCATCCAAAGAGACCCGCTGAAGCGCGCTCCTCTCCATCAAAGTCTCGGCCTTTTCCCTGGTAGGCGTGGCTCATCTTCCAGGCTGGTTCTTCCGACGTATTGTTCAATCACGAGTGAGTGCCTCCAGCGTGGACCCCAAACAGTGGCAGGAACAATCCATGGGGGCATCATACGAGATGTTAGAGATGTAGCGCGGTAAATACAGCAATCGTCGACCCCATCTAGAATTATGTACCCTACACTACTTTACGCTACTCGGCTCGACTCTACGTTACCCTACTCTGATCTAGTCTACTCTAATTCACTTTACGCTGCTCTACTCTATTCTGATATACTCTATTATACTCCACGCTGCTCTACTCTACGCTACGCTGACCCTGACATTCCATATCCAGAAGCGTGGCGCCGCCACCACCTGCAGCAGAACTATTGGCCCTAGGTGGATACCATACTCCTCATTGGCCGTGCAGCTGTGGCTTCATCAACAGCCCGGCGTCGAGGCTCAAGTGCCGCGAGTGCGGCCAGAGGTGCTCCACCAAGGCTGAGCACGAGGCATGGGTGAACCAGGAGCTCGTGGCGCGCGGTCGCAATGAAGCGCCCTCGCCACCCCAAGGAGCGTGGGCGCCCTCGGCTGCGTCGCTCACGAAGCGCACTCCATGATAGCACGAGCGCTTCGAGCAACAGGCCCACGAGATCGAGGAGCTTCGAAGTCCCTCCGAGACCTCCGGCGCGAGGCGGGTCCGGCCAAGCATGCAACACTCAGCGGACTCGAGGCAGCATGCGGAGCTTCGCGAGGCGGGTCCGGCCAAGCATGCAACACCCCTCGAGCTCAGGGCAGCATGCGGAGGCGGCGAGGCAGGCGAGGACGTCGCCGACGCGGTCAGGAAGCTGGACGCCAGATGCAAGCCCCAGACGCTCGGCTCCCTGCAGGCGGCGAAGCGGCAGTTGGAGCACGGCCTAATTACCGGGATTTCCGCGCCATCCTCCAGGAGGCCACTGGCAAAGCCAAGAACAGAGGTTCAGCGTCCCTCTCACGGGGACTCCACTAACGGGCACTTTGGCCAGTAACCTAGGGAACCCAATCCTCCCCGATGTGGGCAACGCTGCAATGCTTCACAGAGGCTCTAAAAAGGCAACTTTCGGCAATTTTCCAAAAGTACCTGTTAATGAGTACCCGTTACGGCGCCGCTGGAAGGTGACGCACCTGTGGAAGGGGCCGCCAGCAACGCTGACGGTGGCTGTCTCGGGCCTGGCGCCGATGGGGCGGCTGCCCCCGGCCCAGGCGCTGGCATCGAAGGAGCGGCACCAGCGCCTCAGCAAGAGCCCGACTGGGCCGACCCAAGCCTGCTGGATAACCTCACTGCCGAAGGACCGCCCGCCGGATGACTGACCAGAGGATAGGAGGAAACACCTCGCGGGATCCGTGCAGCAGCGTCCAAGAGGCAGCCAATTCAGCAGCATCTGGTGCTACACGGTCAACGCCAACGCCGGATGCAAATTCCGCGACGCCCTTGACTGGATCAAAGAGAGGACCGCTGTACCGGCGTCGCTCGGCAAGACCATGGAGGCATTCTGCGACGAGGGCCTGCCGCAACCAGACTGGGTGTTTGTGGAGGAGACCAGGCTTAGGTCAGGCATGTCCCCCTACAGGCGGATTGTGGGCGAAAAGTTTAAACCCACCCGGATACCCGAGGGGGGGGAGGGAGCATCCGGGCAGCTCCCTTTGCGGGAGGGGAGCGGCCGCGACACGGGGGGGAGGCCAATCTGAGCAACGTCGTAGTTACTCGAAGGGAAACTCCTTCCCTTTTATCCCCTCCCCCGGCGGGAATGGGGGGGTGGGGGAGGGGTCCCACCCGGATACCTGGGGGGGGGGCACCTCCTCTGCCTCCTCCTCCTGCTCCCCCTTCGTCGTCTTCAGGGTCGGCGGCACCGGCCGTAAGTCCTTCGCATGCCGGGCGTCGAGGCTCAAGTGCCGCGAGTGCGGCCAGAGGTGCTCCACCAAGGCTGAGCACGAGGCATGGGAGAACCAGGAGCTCGTGGCGCGCGGTCGCAATGAAACGCCCTCGCCACCCCAAGGAGCGTGGGCGCCCTCGGCTGCGTCGCTCACGAAGCGCACCCCACGAGAGCACGAGCGCTTCGAGCAGCAGGCCCACGAGATCAAGGAGCTTCGAAGCCCCTCGGAGCCCTCCGGCGCGAGGCGGGTCCGGCCAAGCATGCAACAGAGCTCAGGGCAGCATGCGGAGGAGGCGAGGCAGGCGAGGACGTCGCCGACGCGAGCAGGAAGCTGGACGCCAGATGCAAGCCCCATACGCTCGGCTCCCTGCAGGCGGCGAAGCGGCAGTTGGAGCACGGCCTACCGGGATTTCCGCGCCATCCTCCAGGAGCTCCAAGCTGTACTAGACCCTACTCTGTTCCGACTACTCAGCTCAACTCTGCTCCGACTCTACTGTACTCCTACTCTGCTCGAACATTCGCTCCTCACCTCTACCCTAGCAGACGAAGCCACGCTCTACTATAATCAACTCCTACAATACTGTACGCAACCCGACTCTACTCAAACATGCTATCCTCTACTCAACCCGAGCAAATAAAGCTACGCGGATACAAGAGGGAACCATGCTGATCGTGTGGACGAGGCCATGCGGTTAGCAGAGGAAGTCATGTGGATAGTTGGACGAATCTAGGAACAACATGGGGAGAGCAGTGGACCAATCCTCTACGCACTGAGATAGAAACTCCTACAGACAAGCCGACTTGGATACTGGACATCTGTATGTATACACACAAAAAAGAGCCATCGCGCGCTTCGCGCGCGCGCTCAAGCTCTAGCTAGGCTGGGTGGTCGAACTCTCTGTGACCTCTATTGTTTGATATTTTTTCCCTAGGGTTTCCATGAACCACGTCGGCGGCCCAAGTGGCTTCCAATACTTCCTATGGTCCACCCGCGGCGGCCTAAGACAGGCCCAAGAAGCACTTCGGGGGCCCTTCTCTTCGCCGCGGCTGGACGTAGCCTAGGGGAGAGGGAGGGAAAGGGGAGGTGAGAGGGGTTCACTGAGGGAGAGGGAGGAGGAGAAAGATGAGGAGGCCACAAAGGAGGAGGAACAGGAGGAGGAGGAGGGGTAGGAGGAGGAAATACGATGCTCCTTTTTTGCAAGCGTAGCCGGGCGAACTTGAAAACATGGAGATGCTGGAACTCCTTGCTTGTTCAAGGGCCCTCGGGGCCTCGTTTGGACCCCTTTAGGGCCTCCTTGGGGCTTCTTGGGGGCCTTTGGAGGCCCAGATCTCGGGCTCCTTGGGGCTTTGTTGGGCTTCTGGGGGGGCTTCTTGGGGGCCTCTGGAGCTTCTTGGGGCTCTTTGGGGCTTCTTGGGGGCCTTTGGAAGCCCAGATCTCGGGTCCTCGGTTCGTGTTCTCGCCATCGCTCGGACGTCTATTCCCTGTTTTTGGGGGGTTTCGTGCGTGGTTTTTTCGCCAAATGATCAAGGATACTCCTCGATGGCCCTCGCCGAAGGAAAAATGCACACGTCCGAGCGATGCCAAGTGTTCCCGATCCTGGCTCGCGGGTGGGGGTCTTTGCGGGCCGTCTTGGATGTCTCCTCGGCCGTTCTGGAGCCGTCGTGCGGCCCTCTTCGGGGCGCCTCTGAAGCCCATTGCCCGCCGCGGGGCGGTGCTCGGGGCCTCCTGGGGCGTCCTGCAGCGCCGGGGGAGCGGGGCGAGCGGAACCGCCAGCAGTGCTCAGACACCTGTGGAACATGCATGTGTGTTGGGCCTCTCCGAGCTCTCTTGGGAGACCTCCTGGACTCCTCTTGGGCATCTTGGGGGCCTCTTGGGTCGTCTGGAGGCAGTCTTGGGCGTCCTGGGCCGTCTAATGGCCTTCGGCCCATCCCGCCACCGTGCTCAGGTTGTGGATTAGAGGCCTCTTGGGAGTTCACTTGGATATCGTGGGAGGCCTCTGGGGGGCCTCCTGGAGGCAATGTTGGAGGCCTCTTGGGGGCCGTTTGGGGGCTTTTTTTATATTTTGGGGGCCTCGTGGGGCTTCTGGGGGATTTCTTGGGCTCTCTTGGGGCCTCTTGGGGCGGAAGGCTCGAATTGTCGGTTCGTGTTTCCCCTCTTGGGCCACTCTTGGGGCCATCTTGGGGCTCTCTTGGGCGATCTTAGGCGTTTCTTGAGCAAGTGTGGCGCCCTCTTGGACCGTCTTGAGGCCCTCTTGGGAGCCTCTTGGGCCGTCTTGGGGCGTTCTTGGGGGCCTCTGGGGCCATCTCGGAGCGTGGGAAGCTCATAACGCGAGAACGCGAAAAAAATTTAAATTCGCGAGGGGTATAAATGACTGTTGCCTTTTTGGGGCCCTCTGGGGGTCCTCTTGGAGCGCTGTTGGGGCTTCTTGGGGGCCTCTTGGCACGTCTTGGGCGTCTTGGAGCGCTCTTGGGCCGTCTTGGGGGCCAATTAGAAACCGCTTGTCCCGTTTTGGCACCCACTTGGTATATCTGGGCCGCCTCTGGGAAACGAACCGGGAAGGTAACAACAAGCTTTCCCAGATGGTTGCGGACTGGGCGCCTAGAGGCCATAAGGAGGGTACATTTGTATTTTGGATCGGTTCATGTATATACCTATGTGTGAGGCAACACACTCGGTGTAAAACATGCCATTTGAACAGTAGTACGCCTAGGCAGGACCTCATGGCCGAACTCAACATTCGTCCGACATGTGCAACTCATGGGCGCATACCAAAACGCAATACATGGGCGCAACCTGTGGCTACGCGACATCTTCACACCCCCAGACGCTATACATGGACACATCCTGTAGCCTCGCGATATCCTCGCACAGACAGGCGCAATCCATGGGCGAAAACGGACGTGCAACCTGTGGCCACGCGGCAGACTCGCACCCCCAAGAACAATACATGAGATATACCCACAGGCGCAACCTGTGTGCGTAAGTAGTGACGGAACCCATGGGCGCATTGTACGGCGCTGCGATATCCAGATTCCCTCAGGCGCAACCCAGGGGCACAAGCTGTGGCGCAACCCATGGGCGCAACCATTGGCCACGCGAAGTCCTTGCACCCCCAGGCGCAACCCATGGGCGCGATCTACCACGCAACGAACGGGCGCAGCCCATGGGCGCATCCAATGGCCACGCGAACTCTTCTCACCCCCCGGCGCAACCCAAGGGCGCAGCTTATGGCGCAACCCATGGCCACGCAACATCCTCGCATCCTCAGGCGCAAACCGCGGGGGCAACCTGCGGAGCAATCTATGTCTCGCAACTTCCTTGCACTCCCAACGCATCCCATGGGCGCAATCGATGGCCACACGATATGCTCGCACCTCCAAACGCAACCAATGGGTGCAACCTGTGGCAAAACCTATGGGCACGAACATTCCGCGCACTCCATACCCAACTGCTTACACACCGGCAAGGACTCTCCAAGTGTAAACGCCGTGGGGCAGTGCTTGACTCCTACACTTCCGCCCTCTCGACTTATCCCGTTTCCAACTCAATTGCGTTCTCGGTCTCCGCTAGGTTCTCGACGTGCCACACCATCCACCGCGCTAAACTTCCCAACACGTTCAGCTCGAGCCCGACGCAAAGAAACTGGTGACTCCTATGTCCTGTACACCTGTCAAGCAGCGCCCGGAGGAAGTGATCACGGACCCGCCTACCCAACATCTACTAGACGTGGAGACGATTTCCCAATGCCGAGCTCCATCTATTCCAAGGGGCGCGTTCCCATCCTTCGCAGATGTCGAATACTTGGGTCGGGACCGCGTGATGCGAAGAAGAGGGTGGAACACATGGGGAATTCACAACCGAATGTTAGCAAGCCGTCCTTGAGCCAAAATGGAGGAGAAGGTGCAGGCGGAGGGAATAAAGGGGGTGAACATGAAGAGAATACAAGAATGGGGTGGGGTGGATCATGAGTGTCTGATTGGTCGCACCAGTTCTGCTGCACTGGTTTCGCTCGTCATTGCAATGGCCACCCGCCCCTCCGTTCACGAACGCAACAGCGACAGAGTTGAGCAAAAGGTCCTTAACTGTTAAAGACGTGCAGAGGAATAATGCACCTTCGGCCACCCACTGACCACAATCGACGTGAGAACACGTGCGACAGAAATTAATATGCCACACCCTTGCGGCCCGACTGTCAAGTATGGTGCCACCGCAGACGCATGCTGACTTTGGCAGGTCGGAACTTCTCAAGCTCAAAAAGAACATCTGCTGAACATCGTGCGATTCCGCACAAAGCGGGTTGCACGATAAGACGCGTCATCGAGACTGCTGGGGTCTGGCTCTGAGCGTGAAACTGGTTCAAGCGAAATAACAAAGCCTGTATCCAACAACTAGCTATCCATTCTGCCTGAGGCCTCTGAATTCATCATTCTCAATGACGCACTCAATTCGACAACCACGAGTTTGCGAACTGGCATATAGCTTAAACACCGATGCACCGATTCTGGAATGAACGTCGTTGCGCTACATCGTACACTCGACTTACAAGCGCGTGTATCGACAACTTGCGGGTAACGAACTGCGCCCGCGACCCGTTTCATATACCACATACGCACTGAAAGAATGCGCCACTGCGGTTGCAACGGCTGGTGTGCTTCTAGGTCATGGCTTCTTCATCGCATTTCACCAAGAGGTACTGACAACCCACCCAATGACGGTAATGACAAAACTGAAGGGGCCCTGGGACACACAAAGAAATACACACACACATAAAAAGGCTCCACATCTTTTCCCATATTTTCTGTGTGATTGTCTTCCCGCCCAATTCCCATATTGGCCAATATTTTCTCGGGGATCGACGATTCATTGTGTCTGTGTGTTTTTCTCCCTCCTGAAAAGCCCTGTGACGCCACGATCGTCGCCGACACCCCGAGACCGCTCTGTGAGAAAACCGAGACAGCCCACGACCGCCTGCCAGTGGTCGCGCAGCCTTCCCCGCGCCGCCGCATGGACCCCACCACCGGAACCCGCCGACCCCCGCCTGCCGGGGGCGAGGCGTGGCGGATGATTGGCTGCCCCGCTCTCCCCCGTTCCCCTCCCTCCCCCGGGGTCCAAACTGCCGTTGGAGGGGGGGAGGGAACACTAGCTCGCCAACGCACCCTGGGGGCCTCTGGCGACCTCTGGAGCCTCGACATCGACACTCCGTGGCCTCAACGGTGCCCAAGGTGCCATCTAAGCTGGCTCAAGCTGGGTTCGAACACGCCGAGGAGGCTCCAAACAATTCCCAATATGGCCGCAAGTCGACCCAAGAAGCCTCTAAGACGCCCCAAGATGGCTCCAAGAGGAGCCCCCAAAATGCACCAAGACGCAAACGCCGTCCAATTCGTTGAGATAAAAAGGGGATTTCAAACATCTTCGCTTTTTGGTCGGAACAGCGTCCACGACTGCTCAGGAAGCCCCTGAGATTGCTCCGAGACGGCCCAAGCAGCCCCCGAGAGGGCCCCAAGATGGCCCAAGATGGCCGCAAGACGGCCCAAAACGGCCCACGGGGGCCCAACACGGCTCAAGTCGGCGGTGGACAAACCTTCCTTTACTAAACCACGCTTTAGTGAAAAACGGCCTGGGACCGAAACCGACGGACCTGGACCCGCAAAAATGACGGCCGCGACGCCCTCTCGCGAACCGAAAACGGCCAACTCCTTAATCAACGTGTCAGGGCAGGAGGTCTATCCACCTCCGACTCAAGAGGGCCCAAGAGGGGGGGGTACTTGAAACTGGAATCTGAAACACTCCGCCCCAAGAGGGCTCTCCCGAGACCGCCAGCAGGCGCAGTGGCCCCCGAACAAATCAGAAATGGGCCCCCGAATAGGCCCAAGAGAGGCCCCCAGAAGCTCCCAAACAGTCTTCAAAAGGCCCCGCGCGCGCGTCGCTCTTCGCAGAGCCAATGGCTTTGCCCTCAAGACCTCGCCCCAGTGGTCTCGGAGCGCCTGGGCCACGGCAGCCGAGTCGGTGCGGACCGTGCCCGCAGAGTCCAAGACCGCCTGGGTCGGCGGAATGGCGTAAGCCTCTGGGACATGTGTTGCGACAGTGCGGCAGTTCGCCACGCACGACAAGCGCAGCTGGGAGTGCCCTAACGTATCATGCCAAAGCGCCGATCGGCAATGCCACTATGCGAATATACTGACGCGACCTTAGTCGTAGGTCGGGCATGTCCCCCTACAGGGGGATTGTAAACGAAAAAAATGAAAAATAATCACACACAAAAAAAGGTCTAATCATATGCCACAATTGTGACAAAAATCGTCCCGTGACTATTTTTGTTAAAGTATTTTTGAATAGTCCTCCTGTTGAGGGACAGGCCCGACTTAAACCTAGTCTTTGGAAGCGACGCGCCGCTGCGTGGACACCACCGCCTTCCAATGCGTTCCCCTTCGGCGAGTGCTTTGCGCACACGGACAGAGATCCGCTCCTGTGCCTTCGGGGCACGCCGAGGCGCGGCCCAATGCCAGGTGATGTCTGGTGTGCCCTCTGCAATCCTCTCGCCCCCCCCCCTCGTCAAGCATCCATTTTTTGCCGTGTGGACGAACCCCCCTGCCTGAAACTAGAGGCGGATTTTGGACGAAAAATGAAAAAAGAGCTAAACAATGTTCAAAAATGGTCCAAAAAAGGCCAACAATCGTCCCCAGACTATTTTTTGGGACTGTTTCTGAATAGTCCTCCTGTAGAGGGACGTGCCCGACTTAACGATAGCGGGCATCATGGGGGGGGGCCTTGGGGGCGGCAGAACGTAACGCCTCCCCCCGGTCGTGCGGTTCCGGCGCCACCACAGCGTCGGTCCACCGCGCGCACGACGACGACGACGACAGACGACGACGACGACAACGACGACGACGAGCGACCACGACACCGACGACAGCGACGACGACGACGAAGACGACGACGAGCGACCACGACGACGACAACGACGACGACGACGAGCGACGACGACGACGACGACGACGACTGCGACGAGCGACGCCTCTGGAGGTCTCCGGAGGTTCCCGAGGCCTCTGGAGGCCTCCTGAGGCCTCTGAAGCTTCAGAGGCCTTCTGGGAGTCATCCGAAGACCTGCAGAGGCCCTCGAAAGCATTGGACGGCGTTTGACAACGACGGGCGACAGCGAGCGATGACAACCGACGACAGCGACGACGACGAGGACGAAGCTGACGACGAAGATGACGACGACGAGCAACGACGACGATGACGACGACGATGGCGACGACGATCGGCAACAAATAGCGACGACGACGACGACGATGACGAGCGACGAGCGACAACGACGACGACGACGGCGACGTTGGCCGACGACGAAGAGCGACGAGGAGTTGTGGCGAGCACATGCCTGCGAAGGCGTCGTTGCCTCCACGTGGCGTATAGAGGTATGCTCCTTACCTCCCTCCTCCATCCTCGTGGTCGTCGTCGTCGTCCTTCTCCTCCTGATGCTCTCTCTCTCTCTCTCTCTCTCTCTCTCTCTCCTGCGAACACCACGAGTGCCGGAGCACCGCAATTTGCCCGCGACCACCGCCCCTATGCGGATCACTATGCGGATCCCTGTGAGGACCCCTCTGGGGATCCCTCGCCATCGCTCGGACGTCCATTCCCTGTGTTTGTTTCGGTTTCGTGCGTGGCTTTTTCGCTAAATGATCAAGGATGCTCCTCGATGGTCCTCGCCGAAGGAAAAATGCACACGTCCGAGCGATGCCAGGATCCCTATGCGCATGCCCATGCGGATCCCTATGCGGATGTCTATGCGAATCCCTATGCGGATCCCTGTGCAAGTTGCCCTGCGGAGCCCTGCGCGGATGCCTCTGGGGAGGATCCCTATGTTGTGGAGCCCCACGCGGATCCCTATGAGGATCGCTGTGCAGATCCCTGTGCGGATCTCTGTAGAGAACCCTGGGAATCTCAATGCGGATCCCTATGCGGATCCCGATGCATATCTCTATGCGTTCCCCATGCGGATCCCTATGCGGATTTCTGTGCGGATGCCTGCGCGGATCCCTCTCCAAGTTCCTATACAAAGGCCTATGCGCACGGCGGCAGTGCTGGGGGCGTACTAGGGGCCGGAGTGTTACTTTATGGGGGGGGGCGGGGGAGCCATAACACGCGCTGTGGCCCAACAGTAAGGAAACCCGCTCCTGAAGGGCCCACTCAGAGCCCCAAGAAGGCCCCTCAGAAGGACCCACAACAGCCTCGGAAGGCCCCTAGACGGACCCAATGCAACCACACGATGGTCCAAGGAACCCCCCCAAACGGTCGGAAGAGCGGCAATTCGGCCCAAGAGAGCTTCAAGGGACCCCTAAGTCTCAGGATCCCAAGACAGCCCTAAGACGACCCAGACCATCCTCATGAGAGATCCTCAAACAGTGTAGACGAGAAGTGTCACATTTGACGGACTGCCTGGCTGTCAAAGGGTACGCCACACAGACTGCTCCGCGGTCATGGTGACGGATTCGCCGCAGACAGCTGGGCATGTGTGAGACAACGTTTGATGTTTCAACCCGAAGGCCGCCCCGATCCCCGATTGAGGGTGCCGAAGGTGGCTGTGCTACGCTCGGCGGGTACTTGCCGATCCACATCACAACGACTGCCGCACCCCGATCTTCCTACAGGGTCGGGATGGGCGGTCTGTGTCCTCGCTGAACTGCATAATTGGCAAGATCGCGCACATACTAAACGAAATCGCTGTGCCACCATCTAAGATTCGGAGCATCTTACGCGCCATCACTACACTGCAACAGAGTTAGAAGCACCAAGAGAAAGAGACAACGAGAGAAAGAGAGAGAGACATCATATATATAGAGAGAGATAGAGGGGGAAAGCACGACATGGTCAACACCCTGTATTTCAGAACATGCCTCGATGAATTATTGGACAAGAGAGGTTACCGTCGAGACAAAGAACCTGTTCAAGAGCCATGGGAACTATGCCGCATATTCGGAACTTGATCATACTCGCTCCGTAAGTACATACAAGTTGGGCCTTAGGACTCAGACCTGACCCCTCGACAAGGGTGGCATGCGATGGAACATTCTTTCAAAGCCTTGAAACGCCAAGACAGATGCAATGTCCCACACATCATACCCCAAACACCTATAACAGCCGTAGACGTCGGAACAATAAACGCGTCTACCAAGAAGATCGGCGCCGACAATAAAACCTAGGGGCTGGTGCTTTGGGTTGGAATGACAAGCGGAATATACCGACATTGAATGGCATGGTCCATGCAATTCTGCAACAACTTCTGTGGCTGCTAAACGATGCCTGCGCGCACTCTAGGTCATCCTGCGCTGCCGGATATTAAATCACCCTGGCGCCACGCAAATTAGATGTTCCCCAGCAGGTGCAATCCGCCACCGTGCCCCCTGGTGCGTTCATGCGTGGAAGAACGCCAAATTCTGTCTTATAGGGTTTTTTGAATCCTGATAAAAGACCGCCCTCCCGCTACCCGCAGACTCTTGCGTGCATCCATCCGACTCACCGAGGCCACTTCCCTCGTGCCCGCTCGGGGATCGTGCACTTCCAGCACGGCAGCTAATGCCCGAACCCCCATTCCATACGTGCCCGCAAAAGGATAGTGCACTCCCAGCGTGGCAGCAACCCCCCAAACCCCCAGTCCACAAGTGCTCGCTCAAAGATGGCGCACTTCCCGCATGGCACCTGACGCCTGAACCCGCAATCCACGCGTGCCCGCGCGAGGATGGCGCGCTTCCCGCATGACAGCTAATACTTGAACCCACATTCCACGCGTGCCCGCTTGAGGATGGTGCACTTCCCGCATGGAAGCTAAAGCCTGAACCCCCATTCCACGCGTGCCCGCAGAAGAATGCTGCACCTCCCGTATGGCAGCTAACGCCTGAAACCCCACTCCACG